TTTTCATTTAAATAGAATATATATCTCTACAGTCTATCAAAAGTCCACTGTTGAACATAAACATGATTATAGTTATTTGGCATAGTTTCAACGCTTGGAAAGCGGGTTGTCAACCATTATTTAGTTGTTATCAGGACAATGCTGCTGTTTATCTTCTTTGATGTTTCCCTACGTCGCCTCATACACCACCCATGGAATGATATGAGGTAGCAGATAATCTTACACTGCATGGTAAATTAAAATAGAATATTATAAAACATTCGTTTTTATTTTATATACCAACATATTACAAAAAAAAAAATCCTTTGTTGATGCTTTACAACGTATATTAACTAAAACATTTTACCATCTTAACCATTAGGTAACATGATTAAGCCACCTAACCATAAGTAAGTCACCTAAAAAAGGCCTTCGATAGATATCCTCATAGGATGACTTGCCATAGTTGCCACGGCTGCGTGAAAATATGCGTTATGCTGGTTGGCCACCGCAGTTTTTTTTTATTTTAAGTTTTCATCGGGAAAGTGCTGCTGCCCCATCCCCATCTTGTATTATTGCTTACGACGCGGGGTAATATCATCTCGTGTACAGACAAATTCTCTTGTACGCCAAAACTTGCCGCACACAAGACACTAACTTAACAAAACATGCAGGAAATCGCGGGAATAGGCTCATAACCGTGTTTTGTACTACAAAACTTAAGTGGAAACCCTTTCCTTTCAAAGGTCTGTGTTCAGCACTGATCTTGTGATGGAATGTTATGTTAAAACATTATTGATTTTTTTTGTAAAAACAACAAAACTCGACACAAGGAAATTTTAGTAGTAGTTTATTAATAATTATATTAATATTAATTGAGAATAAAAATATTAATTTATTTAATATTTTTATTCTCAATTAATATTTAAGTACATACATAACATATTGTTATTTATTAGCGATATCACACTTTGTGCTATTAGCGCCTTCACTTAGTGCCGTCAAAATCCAAGGAGTTTATTGAATGTCCAGTAAAATCGTCGATGCGCCGTTGAATACAGAAGGATGATTCTGTTTTTACGCCGTTTCCGCCCGTAGTTTTTGTCACAGAATGTATTTTCAAGAGAAATTAATTAATCATCTGAATTATAAAGAACATTTTTATGGTAACAATTAAGTTTTTTGTAAGAATGTAAGTGCTGTGAATATAAATAAACCCATAACGGGGGAAATGGAACAATATCTGGTAACCCAGTGAAAGTACCTCACGCCTATTTCTATCTCAAAAGCATACGCGAATGCTTTATCTAGTCAATACTCTATCTACTGCGTAGATAGAGGATTGACTTTTGATTGAAGATACTATGTCTATGATCTAGCGTAGAGACACAGATTCCTTAATAGTTTACTAAACAGATACATCACTCCCATACAAAAGCGAAAATACCTACGCTATAATAGCTAAACGTAATGGTTATATTCTCTTTGATAATAGCCTACAAAATCTTAATAATAATATCTGCTGTTCGAAGCGAGAGGAAAATGTACCATAAATACGGGTGAAAGAGTAGAAAATGTGTTGACCACCGTGCGACTCACGTGCAAGCGCATCATCGCACGAATGCGCTAGGGTTGTACTTATGATGATTATTGCAATAAAACGAATCTTGCGAAATAACCATATTTTCTATTTGTCAATAAAATATGTTTGAGTTTTATAAAATGATTTATACATATTTTTCCTTCTCTGAATTCTCGGATGTAACCTAATAGTTAAGAAAAAAAGACAATTTTACATCTACGGTCAATCAACTAATAAAATTAAACAACAAAATGTCAATGGTTTAGTTTTTAAATAATTGCTTAATTTATATTATAGCAAGTTATAGTTATAAATAGTTATAAATAGTAGTAGTTATAAATAAAATAAACGAAATAAATATAAAAGAAAAAAAATGTCAATCAAAATAAACATTCAACGCAGTTTTTCATTCGCGCAATTTCGTTTCCGTTCCGATCCTGGCCGAGCGAGCCCGACTCAACCCGAGTTCTATAATCTATTCGAGTCGATACGAGTACGATGCAACACCTTACGAAAGGCGCGCGCGCGTGTGTATCGTAACATAATAAATAATAATTCACTCAACTCGAGTTGATGCGAGTTGCAACGCCTAACGAACCGCGCGCGCGAGCCGCGTGTGTAACTCGGAACAACTCGCGTGTGTAACTCGGAACACCGCGTATAACTATAACGTCGGGTTTGCGTTCGGACGACCGAGTTGATTCGAGTTGCTTAAAACTGACCTCGAGTAGACTCGTTTAAGGTTTGATTCGAGTTACTCGAGTCAAATAACTCGAGTCGCACACCGCTAATTGGGCTGCCGCACGCCTAGCGGTGTGCGAATCGAGTTATTTGACTCGAGTAACTCGAATCAAACCTTAAACGAGTCTACTCGAGTTCAGTTTTAAGCAACTCGAATCAACTCGGTCGTCCGAACGCAAACCGGACGTTATTAGTTATACGCGGTGTTCCGAGTTACACACGCGAGTTGTTCCGAGTTACACACGCGGATCGCGCGCGCGGTTCGTTAGGCGTTGCAACTCGCATCAACTCGAGTTGAGTGAATTATTATTTATTATGTTACGATACACACGCGCGCGCGCCGTTCGTAAGGTGTTGCATCGTACTCGTATCCATACATATATATTTATCTATGCTCGTATCGACTCGAATAGATTATAGAACTCGGGTTGAGTCGGACTCGCTTGGCCAGGATCGGAACGGAAACGGAATTGCGCGAATGAAAAACTGCGTTGAATGTTTATTTTGATTGACATTTTTTTTCTTTTATATTTATTTCGTTTATTTTATTTATAACTACTACTATTTATAACTATAACTTGCTATAATATAAATTAAGCAATTATTTAAAAACTAAACCATTGACATTTTGTTGTTTAATTTTATTAGTTGATTGACCGTTAGCGATCCGCTCGTGAGTCTCGAGCTCGAGCTGACTCGTGGTCCCCGAGTCGGCCGAGTCGCCTCTCTTTCCCTACAGCAGACATCGATTCGAGTCAACTCGAGTTACGATTCGAGTCAGTAGCCATATGAACTCGAGCAACTCGAGTCAAAAAAAATCCAACTCGTCACATCAGTATCTATGAGTAAACAATATTAAGAATTTGACATTGCAGTGCATTTTTGTTTGTTTTGTTATAACTGGCTTTACGGCTCTGGGTTCTAGCTTTTCTGAGCCTGAAGTTACAATGTATAATTATCTTTCATAGTACACTGCTTCACAATATGTTGATGCGTCACATTGTGCAGCCCTTAGGAGATTTTGATGGCAACTTGAGCTAGCAGACAGCTGACAGTTGGCGATGGTAGTTCAAGGCGCCTAAGCAGGCAGACACTTTATCTTGAGAATCACATCACCACCAGAGCACTTGTTTCACCGTTTCCACTAATAGTTCACATGTCCACTTCAAACCATCATTTAAACAATAATACAGAAGCAACAATCCGCCGCCGGTCAAGTTCCCCCCAAAACTCCATTGCAGTGCAGTTACGGTTTGACCTCAGAGTAGTTACTAGCATAGAGGGTGTTACGGAACGCCGTTCGAAAAATGAATGATACGCGTTGGTCTTGCTTAAACTGGAGGCAAGCGGCGGTGAGGAGGAACTTTTTCTTTTCTTGCTGCTGTTTTCTTTTCTGTAGCTGGAGAGCGACTGCCGACCGTTCCGGCCGGCCCGTCTTATAAATGATTTGGCCGTTGCTGGCCAGCGGACCCTTGCCTCACCCCCGCGCCTTTCTTTATTAGTTAGATTTCTTACAAACTAACGAACAGACTTAAATATATCACATTCTTACAACTACTTATTAAACTAATACTTACATAACAATTTTTCTATATACTAAAGGTTACAATGTTGTTTTTCCAGCAATTTTAAGCTGAGGACCCTGCCCCCCGCCTCAGTACTATAAATATAAAACGTCGTGACGCGGCGCGCGTAGCCTCATTCGCTCCGCGGCCGCGTCACGGTAACATGCCCTGTTTATTATTTTTCGTGCCTAAAGGCTTAATATATAAGAAATTAAATTGCACTATACAAAAGAATACAATTTATATATAATACTTACTCTACAATTTGGCATTAATTAATTTCTGTATTCTAAATCTATGTTAACTCTCGCCAGTTGTTCGGTGCCTTTATTGCGAGAGTTATTACATAGTTACAATACTATTTATTTAAAAATAAAAACTATATTTTTCAATATTATTGCTACGGCGTTTCCTGCGTTGCTGTGGGCAACCACCGCTAGTTGTGGAACCGTGAGCGCGGCCTGACGATCATAACATCCTCCTGGCTCCGCCCACCGCCCCTAGGTTGTTCAACTACGACAAGCAATCCGTAAGTCATTTCACATAACTCCGCCGTTGCCGGTCCCAAGCCCGGATGAGAAAGGAGGAGGGGACGAATCCGCCGGAGAGAGTGGGTGTATCCGGTGGACTAACACACCCACCTGCGCTAGGACCTGCGCAGTCGAGCGCCGTACGCGGGGATGAAGGAGTCCTGGAGGGTTGAGCCGATCGTCGCTGGGGTATATAGTGGCGAGAGGCAACACGCCCTCTTTGGTCCGGATTTCAAGCTAAACGGTGGCCCTATCTGCTAGCCACAGATAGGGAAATGGCCAAGCGCCCCGTCAGAGGGTCGCAGGCGAGGGATGTGGGGGCTGCCTAGTCTTCCTGAAAAGGGGGCTGGGTGGTGGTAAAGGCCATGCTGACGGAGCAAGTGACAGTTTATTCGGGTGGTGGGGATGGGCCTTGTCAGCCCCATCTACCAGCTGGATCGAGCTCCCGATGTCGCGCTGTGAGCCAACTTCGCGTCCCTATATTCTCCCGGTAATCCTAACGCCTGAAATTCCTTTTGCTTCTAAAGTAGGGCGTTCCCAAAGGTGCGGGCTCCATGGAGGGTGGGAAGCCGGGGGGATGAATTTTAAAAAAAAACACAAATTATGGACAATTTAAGGCCCAATAAGAAAGAGGGAGAGGTGTCAGAGGTGCTTACCAGAGACACCAAAGAACAAAAGGGAACCGTCACTAAACCGACGGTTCCACGGACAGTACCGTCCAGCGTAGGTGCCCCCACCAAAGGGATAACCTCGCTGAACGTTTCCAAAACCAGTTCCAAGGAGCTGGAAGAGAAAAAGAAACAAGAGCCCGCAAGTGATAAAACTGCGGAGCCACTACGGACTGACGACCTTTTCTCTGCTGCCTGGCAAGTGGTGAGCCGTAAGGGGAAAGGCAAGGCACCCAAAAAGGTGACTTGCCGACCTGACGGACCATCAAGAGGGTCTATCCCTGCAGGCAGTAGTGGAAAGGCCAAAAAGAAGAACAAGAAGCAGCGGGAAAAAGGCCGTAGAGAACGAGCCGCATTGGCTGCTTCAGATACCAAAACCAAGGAGGCTGGGCAAGCTACTGCGACTGAGGTGCTTGGCGCTGGAACCAGTAGCCGCGCTGAAGCTGGGAAGGATAAAAATCCAGCCCAAGTGGAAGTCGCGGACGCGGGAACCAGCTCTAGGATATCCGCCAGGAAGCAGCGAGCGGCCAAGCGTCCTGGGAAGAAGGAAAGAGCAGCCAAAAGGATGCTGGAAGAGTCCACCTCGCCTAGAGGTGAACACAAAAAAGTGCGACTCGAACAGCAACCAAAGACTGCAAGAACGAGCTACGCTTCCGCTGCTAAAGCAGATTTGGGTGTGGCCTTAACGTGTGCGCGTTCAGGTCACATTACGAAGGAAGTAGCAGACGACATCCTCGTAGCAATACAGAGGAAGATGATCAGCGAGGCCTGGAGTAGCCAGGACCCTGATGCGTCGGGCCCAGTTTTTAGGGGCAAACCCGTTTATACGGAAGGTGTCCTGAAACTGTGGTGCGACGATCAGAAGGCTCTGGACTGGTTGAAGGGGAACATTGCTACCCTCGACCTTAAATCCAGCACCTTGCTGACAATAAAGAAACAGTCAGAGATACCACAAAGAGTCAAATGTGGTATCCTTATCCCTGATGCCCAGGGGGCCTGGAAAGACTCACGCGACATTGGTCGCGTGTTGGCGTACCAGAACCGCTGGGTTAACATCAGGGACTGGCTGTTACTCAAGGCAGATAAGCAGACGGACGGGTGGTTCCTCGTTGTTTCGGTACCGGAGGATCATATCCCGACCCTGATGAAGGCCGGACGCCGTCTCGCATGTGTATGCGGGGCGGTATACGTAAAATTCCAGGGTCGTGGAGGCAAATTCTTTGATACTCCACCGAGCAAAGAGGTAGAAAACAACCCGGAAGTTATGGATACCGGAGCCATAGTTACCGGTACAGCGGAATCACTGGAGGCCAAGTCCAGTGAAGAAACGGCCTGCACAATTGAGCCGAAGCCCCCAGTGGAGATTGGGCTCAGCGGCAGCTCACTGAGTGACGAGGAGGACTGCATTTTGCCGACCACCTCCGACTCGGTGGCTGACGATGAAACCCGAGATCTTCTGGCAGGCCTATTTTTGGGCGGGGACGGGGAGGACGCGATCAATGATGGCGTGCCCTTCGTCCAAAACTAGCCTAGTGCAGGCCAACCTCCACCACAGCGAAACTGCGTCGGCTCAATTACGCAAGTGGTTGGAGGTTCAAAGGACTGCCATAGCCTTAATCCAGGAGCCATGGGTTGGGGCTGGTAAAATTAAAGGCCTAAACAACCTAAAAGGTAAGTTATTCTACAGCTCTGAACACGACAAGCCTAGAGCGTGTATTTACACTACTAAAGATATCTGTGCACAACCTTTAACAGATTTCTGTTCTAGAGACATGTATGCCGTAGCAATACAGTACACACAGGAGAGTAGATTAGTCGTCGCCTCGGTCTACATGCCGGAGGAAGACACTCCTCCCCCTCATGACCTCAGCAGGCTGGTGAACTTCTGCGAGAGGACCGGACTAGAGGTTGGGATCGGGACGGACTCCAACGCACATCATCCCCTTTGGGGAATGGAAAAACCAAATGAACGAGGTAAAGTTTTAGTTGAATATTTATTTAGTACTAACCTAACCATTTTAAACATAGGTTCTGAACCTACTTTCATAAACAAACGCTGTCGCACTATAATCGACCTCACACTTGCAACAGAAGGAGCAGCCAAACTAATTACGGGATGGCATGTGTCGAGAGAGGCCTCATGCTCAGACCATAGATGGATCTGCTTCGCACTACAGGTCGATATCCCCTCTACACCACCATGGAGAAATCCCCGCAAGACAGATAAAACAAAATACCTAAATAGGCTGACGTCTTTGCTAGCGGATTTTGAGGGGATAAATACTATAGCAGATCAGTCGCTCCTAGAAGAACAGGTAGCAGCTGTTACTAAGGCCGTTAAAACGTAAAAAGGTAAGAAAAGCTCTAAATAGGGCCATGAATACCTCAATGGATGAAGACTGGCTATTATATAAGAAAGCTAAGTCTGAATACAAAAAATGTATCAGGTATCGACGCTCGATTGGGTGGCGTAAATTCTGTGGCAACATAGAAACCTGCAAACAAGCAAATAGGATTAGGAATATTCTAGCTAAACAGAACACGTCGGGATCCATGTCTCTAAAGAAACCCGACGGTAGCTACTCAACATCGCCGGATGAAGCCCAACGCATCCTAATTGAAACGCACTTCCCAGGTTGCTGCGTAACCCAGGAGGCAAACCGGCATGACGACATACTGACATCAACAGCAGAAGACTGGAATTTAGCACAGAGAGTGGTAACGATGGACAAAATCCATTGGGCCATTCACAGTTTCCTCCCCTATAAGGCGGCAGGACCCGACGGCATATTCCCGGCACTCCTACAGTGGGGGGGTAAAGCCCTAATAGTCAGACTTGCTGCCATAATGCGAGCCTGTCTTGCTCTTAAATATGTTCCTAGGGGATGGAGGGAAGTGAAAGTTACATTCATACCCAAACCAGGTAAGAGCGACTACACTGACCCTAAATCCTACAGGCCTATTAGCCTCACATCCTTTCTCCTAAAGACGATGGACAGGATGTGTGAAAGGGAATTAAGGGGGTCGGCGCTAATGAACTTACCACTACACGACAAGCAACACGCCTACAGTCTAGGCAAATCAACAGAATCGGCCCTTCATAAGGTAATTACAAAGATTGAAGAGGCCATCCAAAACAAAGAAATATGTCTAGGTTCCTTCATAGATATAGAAGGTGCTTTTGACCGAACGAACTTCTCCAGCATAAAAGGTACACTCGTTAGACACAAAGTTGAACCGGCACTGATCGACTGGATAGTTTACATGCTCAGTACACGAATAATAAAGATTGCTGGTGAATCTCAACCAATCCAAATTAAGAAAGGCTGCCCGCAGGGTGGGGTTCTCTCACCTCTCCTGTGGAATATGGTCATTAATGAACTCATCAGCAAATTAAATGACAATCACTTCTATACAGTAGGTTATGCTGATGACCTGACAATACTGGTCTCTGGAAAGACAGCAAGCATAGTGTGCGACCTGACCCAAGCGGCTCTCCGTATAGTGGAGAGATGGTGCAGGGAACACGACTTAACCGTCAATCCAAATAAAACGGTTTTAGTTATGTTCACACAAAAACGAAAGCTGAATAACTATCATCCTCCAAGTCTTTTTAGCACAAAACTCCAGCTATCCTCTGAGGTAAAATATTTAGGTCTTACCTTGGACAGCAAACTTAACTGGAATAAACACATAGAAAACAAAATCAACAAAGCTAGTATAACTTTCTGGCAATGCAGAAACATGATTGGCAAAAGATGGGGATTGACGCCAAAAATCATACTGTGGCTTTACAAAACTGTAATTCGGCCCATGATCACATACGGCGCTCTGGTATGGTGGACCAAGACAAATGAAGCCACCATAATTAAAAAGCTTCAGCGCTACCAGAGACTGGCATGTATGGCTGCCACAGGCTGCATGAGAACTACGCCAACAGCAGCCTTAGAAGCGATGCTAGAGCTAACTCCGCTTCATCTACATATACAACAAGAAGCGACTTTAGCTGCCATCAGACTCAAGACCCTAAATCTTTGGAGTAAGAATAGTGTCCCTCATACAGGCATAATTGATAGAATTCACTCAAAAATTCCTATCCTACAAGCCAAATACGATAGGATTCCTAAACAATTTGTTTTCGATAAGAAATACAAGATACAGTTAAATGAAAACAGCCAGCCGGAAGGATTAAGCCCAAAAGAGCTTAGAATTTTCACCGATGGTTCTAAAACAAATGAAGGTGTAGGTTCTGGAGCTTTCTCTGAAGACCTCAATATTCACATATGCACACCGCTGGGTACCTATAACACGGTCTTTCAGGCGGAATGTATGGGTATCATTCAAGCGGCCATAGCAATAGATGCTAGGAAGGTTAATGACTTCCCCATCAGAATACTGACCGACAGTAGGGCGGTACTCCAAGCCCTGAGATGCAATGTGGTGAACTCGGGACTAATATATGAATGCCATCAACGATTAAATGAGGTATGTAAAAACAACAATGTGACCCTGCAATGGATAAAGGGACACAGTGGATCCAGAGGCAACGATGCAGCAGACGAACTGGCTAGAAGAGGATCGGCTTTGGCCACTATAGGGCCGGAACCAATCATACCAATCCCCTTTGGTAACGTTTGTTCACTGGTACGTAGACACTTCACTAATCAACACGCTCAGCTTTGGAAAAATCTAGTAGACTGTAGACAAGCTAGGGATGCCCTGCCTGAAATTAACAGTCGCTTAACAAAAGTTTTAATGAGACTGAACAAGCCGCAGATTAGGATAGTAACAAGTGCTATCACAGGACACGGCACCTTTAACAAACATTTATTTACTATAGGTGTTACAGATAGTCCCCTGTGCAGGGCATGTATGGGGGAGGAAGAAACGGCGGCCCACGTGCTACTGAAATGTCCGGAGGTCGCTACATACAGGGCTAAACATCTCGGCACGCCGGGATCACTCCCCGAAGTTGCATGCAACATCAAGGGCCTGTTGAGCTTCTTCGGAGAGATCTCATGGCTCGAATAATCACATTATTCCTGCCCACACGCAAAATACGCGCATAGACGTGGAGTTGCGGAAAACAGCCCGTCGTAAACTAAACTAAACTAAATATATCACATTCTTCCAACTACTTATTAAACTAATACTTACATAACAATTTTTCTATATACTAAAGGTTACAATGTTGTTTTTCCAGCAATTTTAAGCTGAGGACCCTGCCCCCCGCCTCAGTACTATAAATATAAAACGTCGTGACGCGGCGCGCGTAGCCTCATTCGCTCCGCGGCCGCGTCACGGTAACATGCCCTGTTTATTATTTTTCGTGCCTAAAGGCTTAATATATAAGAAATTAAATTGCACTATACAAAAGAATACAATTTATATATAATACTTACTCTACAATTTGGCATTAATTAATTTCTGTATTCTAAATCTATGTTAACTCTCGCCAGTTGTTCGGTGCCTTTATTGCGAGAGTTATTACATAGTTACAATACTATTTATTTAAAAATAAAAACTATATTTTTCAATATTATTGCTACGGCGTTTCCCGCGTGGCTGTGGGCAACCACCGCTAGTTGTGGAACCGTGAGCGCGGCCTGACGATCATAACATCCTCCTGGCTCCGCCCACCGCCCCTAGGTTGTTCAACTAGCGATGGCTACGACAAGCAATCCGTAAGTCATTTCGTTCGACGTATTACTATGTTTGCGTCGTGCACAGAGGGAATCCTAAAATAAGAAAACATTCTTGTAGTTGAACTCTTTATGAGTATAACATTATACGTGTTATAAAATATATGTAAGATAGCTATATTATTTTCACCTTCTCAGCTCAGTCTTCTCACTGGACAAAGGTGTCAATATTAATAGACTGTCGTTTGAGTTTGAAAATTAAAAAGGTATCATTAACATAAATGTATGATAACGTAAATGCATAATGTAAATGAGCAGCACTACCTTTTAACTTATCAATGTAATTCATGATGTTAGTAGATCTTAATATTTTTATATTTGACATGATAAAAAAGATAAAAATCTACAAAAAATCAAAAACTACAATGTTCGTTTGTTCTTTTTTAAATTAGACAAAAAGTTTTTCTTGTATTGTGTCTGTATTTCATATTTGTTTTTATTTGTACACGTAAAAATATATTAAATATAGTCTGATTTTTCATTTCGTAGAATTCTGACAGCTATCATTTTTTGACATGTCAGATATTACAAAACTTTTTGCCCAGGCACATTTTTCCATTTCAATACGAGTCTGAACATCTGAGTCTATACATACATTTTATTTGTTAGTGAATGTATCCATTTTATTAAGTGCGGTGCTCCACATTAAAAGTGATTTTACGGCGAGTGATAATTACGTCCCTTTTCATCACAAACAATAAAAAACGCACAAGTAAAGATAACATATATTTATTAAGATCTTTAATAATCACTTGTCTCACTATCTTCATCATCATCGCTGACATGAATTATTAGAGTCTGCAACTGTGTCAATCAAATCGTCGAGAGTGCACAGCTTATCTTCATCTTTAATGGTATGGCTGATACATTCTTGCCATTTATCAGGAGTAACATTACTTATACTTTCCAGTAATAGTTTTTTAACTTCCACGATTTTAAAACTTCTTTTGTGTCTTGCGACATGCCCCTTCGCTTGAGCCCACACCAAATCAATAGGGTTGAACTCACAATGATATGCGGACAGTCTAAGCACAGTAACGCCTTGTGCTGCGGCCATCTCGTCTACAATATGTTACAGTATGTAACTGTTGGTATTTGTATTTCTCCTGACCTACAATTTTCAATAAATTAACTTTTATCATTTTTTCTTCAAAATTTAAATTTTTGAAGTCTACCACGCTTGGATATCGCCTTTTCTCCATGCACTTGTTGGTAGTTTTTCAACCTTCCTCGAATGATAGCCTCCTGAATGAATGAATTCCTCGATGAAGCATTATCCACCACTACTACCGAGTTTAGTTTTAACTTTGGAAGTATTTTTGTGAACTACTCCTCAAATACTTCCCCAGTCATCTCCTTGTGGTAAGCTGCCAAGCCTTTTTTTGCCTTAAAAACCAATAAGCCATCTTCCGAAAATCCTTCTTCGCTCCCTCTATGGCTAACTATAAGTCGCCTCCCTTTGCCCGTAGGTACCTTAAGCCCTGTTGTCAAGCCATCGAGGAAAGCTAGCCGTGAAGATTGAATGTTGGTATCACACCACACTTTATTGACGGTATATCCTGAAAATAAAAACATATTTAATATTTAACTTATACATGAGGACAGTTATATATACATATAAATTGAAAAATATTACCTATAAATATGGCTTTCTTTATTTATGTATTCATTTTGGCAACAGAAATTTATTAACAAAGTTAATTTAAGTGTTACATAACAAGTACAGAATTTGATTGCCGACTAATACTTTGAAGAAAAATAGGTTATAAAAAGTTAATTACCACATTATTCAATACTTGCCTTCGTTTACCCACGTTTCATCCTGGTAATATATAAACCTGCCTTGAGTTGATTTGGGCTCATGTAAAGAGGCACATAGCTAGAAATAGTATTACGTTTAAAATTGAAAAAGTTAAGGCATTATTAAGTGACAGTATGGCGAAAGTCACGCCTGATCAATGGAAGAAATGTGTGGAGCATGTTCAAAAGGAAGAAGATAAGTTTTTTAAACTTGATTTTATTGTAGACTAGATGACCAGGCAGACGTTGTTCTGCCCTTTCCTGAGATGACCCTTTCTCCAATAAAAAAAATGCTTAAATTGCTAATAAAATGTTAAGGGTCACTTATCGGGATAAAAACTATCCTATCTCTCAAGTTTGACCAAACTGCACACAGTGTGCAAAATTTCATTAAAATCATTTAAGTAGTTTAGGAATTCATCGCGGACAAACAATGTGACACTTAATGTTTATATAAAAATATGACGTGACGGATATATTTATTATACGTGTTACAGACTCTGATTTTGACTCTACAGACTCATAAGAATCGGCGTCTGACTGAATAAACAATGATTTCCTCAAACAAATTATATTTATCCTCATTTCCATAAACATAACATAACATATCATCAGTAATCATGATAGGCAGATATATTAACACCCACATTTTGCCTGAAATACTTACATATGCTGCACTAAAAGTATCGGGAATGGAATATTTCCACTGTTCCTGTCATACTAAAATCTTTTTAATTGAAAACTCCTTGGTTTTAAAAATCGAATACCATTTATTTATTTAAAAAAAGATTCTCGGCCTTGTCAAAAGGTTTTGTCAAACTTGTTTAGTCGTTGAGAAAATGGAATTGACTCGAGAAAATTGAAGAGCGATGATTTATTATGACTTTCGAAGCGGTTTAACACAAAAACAGTGTGTTGACCGGATGATTTCTACATTTGGTGATGAAGCCCCATCCAAAACCATAATTTATCGCTGGTTTGCTGAATTTCAACGTGGACGTGTCAAGCTCCCCGTCAAGTGATGATCCCCGTCAAGGTCGTCCAAAAACTGCAGTCACCCAAGGAAATGTTTATGCTGTGCGTAAGCTGATTGAGGAAGATCGACATGTGACATACCGCGAAATTCAAGCAACTTTAGACATTGGCATGAGTCAAATACAAATAATCTTGCATGAACAATTAGATGTAAAAAGGTTGTTTTCCCGATGGATACCGCATTCGCTCTGTGAAGAGCAAAAAGTGGCTCGCGTTACTTGGTGCGTCAGAACTCTCGAAAGATTCCACGCAGGATCCTCAAATGCTGTATACAACATCGTATCAGGTGACGAATCCAGGATATACGCGTACGAACCCGAAACAAAAAACCAGTCACGAGTTTGGGTGTTCGAAAATGAGTTAAAGCCAACAAAAATTGTTCCTTCACGGAGTGTTGCAAAAAAAATGGTGGCCACGTTTGTCTCCAAAACCGGCCATGTTACGACTATTCCTCTTGAGAGACAAAGAACGGTTAATGCAGAATGGTATGCTAGCATTTGTTTGCCACAGGTCGTTTCTGAACTCCGTAAAGAGAACTGCAACCGCCGCATCATCCTCCATCACGACAATGCGAGTTCTCACACCGCACACAGAACAAAAGAGTTTTTAGAACAAGAAAACATAATTATTAGACCATCCGCCATACAGCCCCGACCTAAGCCCTAATGATTTCTATACTTTCCCTAAAATAAAGAATAAATTGCGTGGACAGAGATTTTCATCACCTGAAGAAGCTGTGGACGCCTACAAAACGGCCATTTTGGAGACCCCAACTACCGAATGGAATGGTTGCTTCAATGATTGGTTCCATCGTATGAAAAAATGTGTCAAATTTCGCGGAGAATACTTCGAAAAGCAATAAATACATTTTTAAATAGTAATGTTGTGTCACTTCCTTGATTACGGCTCCGTGGCGTAGTGGCTTAGCATTCAGTTGTTGCACTGGGGGCCGCGGGTTCGAATCCCGCACGGAACAACTATTTGTATGGCCTACAAATAATTGTTCCGGGTCTGGATGTTTGTCCTTGTGCAATTTATGTTTGTAAACTGCCTCCACGACACAGGAGAAGATCCTAGTGTGGGGGTAACGTTTTTAAAAAAAACAATTTTAAACCAATATATTCCCGAAATTTTCAGTGCCGACCTCGTAAGTCCCTATGTAACAGAGGCAAGGCTGTAACCATATACCGGGCATACAGTTAGGCAAGCGGTATCCAGAAACATTGTAACTTAAGGCTCAGAAGGGCAGGAACCCAGAGCCATTAAGTCAGTTATAAAAAAACATTGTCGCTGTCTGGTTTGACATTTAAGCCCGCTTTTCACTATGGGATATAATGTAATATACAATATATTTCAAGATATAAATTAATATCGCTCACCATACTTTTTAATGGAACCGTTCACACTGAGATATAATATATATTATATCTCATACTATAAATATTTTTCGATCGACCGAGCGATATTTTCATATTTTATTTCGCCCCCTGTACCCCGCACACCGTTTCGCAACGCCGCTACATCCTCTAGTTCATGTCTGTCATGTCATTACCTGAATGTACTTTTGCGTTGTACATATACTTATTTGTATTTGTAACTTTTCTTAATCGAATTCATTAAAAGCTCTAAATTCACCATATTTCTCTCTAAACTTTATATGATTTGATATTCAGTATCGACGCTTCCTGTTTTTACTTAAAAGTAACACACATAAGCCAAAATTCTGCATCATCTTCCTCTGACGAACTGTCGAGGCTATCAAGCAAAGCAATATCTATTTTGTTTGAAAGTCAATTTTCTTTGTAAACGACGAGTGCGGTGTAAATGTAATCCAGTGACGAACGCACACTGGTTAAAAGATATATCTCACAGTGTGAAAGCCAATCGTGGGATATAATTTAATTTATATCTCGGGATATAATATATATTACATCCCATAGTGAAAATCAAGCTTTATTGCATAAGGCTAAAGATAAACGTCAAAATTCAATCAAAAGTCAAAACTAAGTTGAAGTCGGTGTTGTGTTGTAATGGAGAAGGTGTCTTAATTAATTGTTTTGATATGAATTATGCGATTAAATTGTGATAATCGTACTTTACTTATCATCGCGACGAAAATCGAATAATGTCAAACGATATAGATTTGTTTATATCGGTGCCGCGATCTTGTTTAAATGATTTTTATAGCAAGTATCTTAATTTAGTTGAAACTTTTTATTATGTTACGTTATCGGAGTGTAAATCAACTATCGCGAAAGAGAAACCAGAATACGTGTTTTTTAATGTTATATTTAATTTAAATCCCGTGGATGGAAATTTCAACCCTCAAGAGCTTGTTGCCCGGATACAGGTAAGTGAATACGAATTCTGAAGTTTTTTTTTTTAAAATTAAATAAAGATGTATAATAATTGTAATTCAAAGTCATACTGTTAAACTAAGTTACACAAAAAAATTGTTAAACCCACATGTTGGATAGTACCTAGTATTAATAAAAAATTTAATGGAGTACACTTTTACCATGTACTAATAAATATTAATGTTAGTCGTAATAATGACGACATATATGACACCAAATGAATTTTAGTTGTGAAAGACCAGTTATTTAACTTCCATAATTTTTTGGTGCAAGTTTTGCATATCTGTCTATATAGGCACCTAGTAATAATTTATTTTATTGTGAAGATTTGTGTATATTAAATAAAGAAAGAAGAAAGTTGGTTTTGTATTTTGAGTAATGAAACTTAGATTATACATAACAAATTACTATCTTGGACAACTCACATAAATTAAATTTATACATATAACTTCTTATCCTCTCAAATAGATGAAAATTTAATGAAAAATTTTGGACAATTACAGTGCTATGTATACTATCTAGTTAGAGTAAATAATTTGTGAATTATAGACAAATTTATTACAAACAATAAATACAGATTTTAGAAAAAAAATGTGATACCTACTTGCAAGCCAGTAAAATAACAAGCACGTAGAAGTTAATAAGCATGGCATTTTTTTTCTATTTTATTGATCTTAAAATCGACATATGTTTAGGACTGTAATATATATGTAGATAAGAAGTTAAATAAATATAAATTCGGTATAGGTTGTCCAAGATAGTCCATTCAAAATAGTGGAAAAAATTATTTTTAACAACTATTTGCAAAGTGTGACTTATTCTTTCTAAGGATGAAAAATATTAATCTGTAATATTTTTTTTTTTTCAATAATTGTGAATAGTGAAGTATATAAAATATACTCTATTCTTGTATAATCACATATGTAATTTTAAGTGGTACAGCCATGATGCCCATTCATTCTACAACTATATTAATAGTTGTAGCATGAATAGATCGGCTCGACCAAGGAAGGACCACACATTCACAGAATAGCAGCGTTAAATAGCAACTTAACACTGCTGTGTTTCTTATGGTGAGTGCAGAGAACTGGAGACCCTTTTTACTTTAAATGTGGCATTCAATTTTAGTCCTCACGGGTGACAACGCATTTGAATTTTGATTTGTAATCGAGTATAGATGTCTAGGGTTACAGCAACCATTTACCATTAGGTTGACTGTGTGCTTGTTTGTCACCCTTATTCTATGAAAAAAAATCATAACATTCCAATATTAATTTTATGCATTCATTACATTTTAATTACACTCAATTAATATTTCAAATTATTTATAGTATCAACTTATCTTCAATTATAAATAATAATTGAAGATTTTTTTGATTCATTTAGTGTAAAGGTAAATAAGCCTTTGTAAATAATTGTGATTCCAGGAGTAAAGCAATGGTTTTTCATTTATTACTTATGCAATATTTGACTAAGGTTTGACTGAATTAAAAATGTATTACTATTTAAATAATCACTATTTCATTAATTCCTTACAACCTATCAAAGTTCCACTGCTGAACATAGGCCTCCGCCATAGAATGCCTCATAGTGAGGATATTTGCCATGCTTGGCAGTCTGGTTGGCAACTGCATTTTTATTATTTTGAGTTGTTATCAGGAAAAAGATTAACGGATAGGGTGCACTATAATAACAAAGGACTTATGCACTAAAAATTCAACAGACTAGGCAATAAATTCAATTCAATTTATATCACATATCATTTTCAAATGAACAATAATAATCATATCATAATAATATATATCATAGGTATTCAATAATATAAATCAGTGACTATAAATGTAAGGAATAAGAGAGGGGTTAGAGAGACAAATAATATTCTTTAACCTGTTTCTTGAACATAATATGTAAGGATTGAGCTTGACTAAGGGTAAAGAAAATATACACTACGCGAAAAGAAACAACTTTAAGCATGTGTAAAATCGTTTGTGGCTTGTGTGTGGGTGTCTCTGGATGTGTGCGGGACCTTGAGAGGCGTGCGGGGCGTGAAACAGGCTGTTGCCTACTGCCCTGACTGAGGGCTAATACATAGTAGTTCACATCTCCTCTCTCTAATCTCCTAAAAAAACTCCTGAGATTAGCAATAAAAAAATTGAAGGTCACTTATCGGGATTAAAACTATTCTATCTCTCAAGTTGGACCAAACTGCACACAGTGTGCAAAATTTCATTGAAATCAGTTCAGTAATTTAGGAGTTCATTGCGGACAAACAATGTGACACATAATTTTTATATATAAAGATATATTAATATGTATGTATGTATGTATTTATCTTATCTATGTACTTATATACCATACCATATTTCTATTTTATGGCTTTAATAAAAATAATGATATTTTTGTCGCCAAACCACTCACGTTTTTATTGTTTTCTTGCAATCCTGTCCATCCAAAGGTTGTCTGGAAGAGATCGCTCTTAGCGATAAGACCACCCATTGTACCATATTTATTTTTCTCATATTTTGTTAATGTTTAAGTTATTTTTTGGCGTATTTTAAAGTGTTACTATCTATCTATGCTTCTCTATGGATTTTCTAAAAAAAATTATACATACGGCTATGAATTTTTGCAATTGTTAGAAATAATAATAAAAATTATAAGTAATTGAAAAAGTCAAAAATATATAAGAGTAAGTAATTTTTAAAGGGTAGTAGGTAATACTGATTATTGCGTACTGAAATACTAATTATTTAAGATTACTATTAACTGTGCATATTTTGTTTTGTCGGAAATTTTAATTTTCTCCATCTGTAAAGATATTTAATAAAAGTTGATTTAAAATTGATCGTATCTTTCACTACCTAAATACATAGGTTAACATTATATAACATATACCTACTATGTATCTTCTTTGGCACAAGTCTATAATATTCCATTTCGGTTTGGTATCAACTCTAGCGTTACACGCTCAGGCTTAATGTCACCGGCACTTGAATCTCACGTACAGAGAGTGTCACCCCTGTGACTGTGGTAAGGAATTCCAAAGTTTTCCTCCCAATTACAGAGAATAATTAAATAATATTGGAGGGAAAGGTTTTCGTTGTAAGGAAAAATTATGTCAAGAGCTAAGAAATGATTACTTATATTTACCTGAAGACTACACATTAAATTAAAACTAATTTTTACGGATTTTATCGCGTTTAATTTCACTTTGTAATTCCCGACGTTTCGGGTGCTTTACAGCATCCATGGTCACGGGGGGACTGAGGTGCTTGATGTCCCGATGTCATAGCTAGCCCAATTACCTTCAGGTTTTGAATATTAATTTTTAGTCCGATCTATGCAGAATGAGCTTACAGTATCTTGATGTCTTGCAGTGGTCGACTTGATATATTAAATAAAATGCTGTAGGGAGAAGAAAGGATATCATTATTCCGACAAGAACAGGGGAGTGCTTTGAGAAATTGTTCGGATTAATCCCAGCCGCCAAATTTCACAAATGCATATCGCGTCATAATTCACAATATCATCCTCTGGATGCTTGGCTGTCCACAACTGTGCGTTTTACTATTTTATTCCATGTACAACTTCTCTGTGGAATTGTTTACCACTGAAGATTTTTCCAGACTGATATGACTTAGGGACCTTCAAGAAAAGAGTTTACTCTTTTCTAAAAGGCTGGCAACACACCTTCAATTCTTCTGGTGTTGCGGTTGTTCAGCCGCTGTGGTAGGGACTTACCATCAGGTGAGCCGCATGCTTGTTTGCCCCCTCTCCTATAAAAAAAACTTACCATCAGGTGTGCCGCATGTTCGTTTGCCCCTTCTTCTATTAAAAAAAAAAGATAGGGAGTCACATGAGCTTATTACAGTGTTCTGAGACATGGTCATATTACTAAATTATAAATAAGTACTGTGCACAGAGATTTTGGGAGACGCTCAAGTTTGTTAAGCTACTCAGGTATCATCATATCAAGGTAACAATTGTTGTTAACAACAGTTGAGGATAGGGAACAGTAAAAATTGGGCAAGTGTAATTTTAATGGAAATGGGAAAAGTAATTAAGACTCCGGAGTGAAGCATATGCTACAAACATTTTATGGCTCACTGCAATTAGTTTCACAGTTAACCCATAATATGATTGACTCCAGTTGAAAATACATGCCAAATCTTTGTTGATACAATCAACTGCTTTAGGAAGATCCTCAATGGTGATCTGTAAATATATTTGGAGATCATCTGCATACAAATGGTCTATCTTAGAAACGAATTCATTGCCTTCGGCCATACAAATTACTATGAAACTAGGAAATTGCATCTACTGTTTGTTTCATTCCCTCTGTCGCCTCTTACGACCCCCACGGAATGGTACCTATTATATTAAGAAATTTTTCGAAATATTTCAATATTTTAGATGATTAATTAGCTTCATATGTTCGGATGCAACAAAACACGGACGAGTGGCAGAGGTCAGCGGTGCGCGTTTGTTTTGGGGGCCGCATGTTGCAGTGGGCGCACAACCCGGATCTCAGTGCCCCGCTCCCCTTCACTGCTGGGGCCCGTGCGTTGTGTGCGTACATGCGCCGGCGCTCTAGACGAATGCTCGCTCGTATCGGTAGTATCGCCGCGTATCACGCCGCGTTCGCACACGCGCAATGCGAGACGCGCGCACACTAGCACACACTCACTATGTACACGATCGACAGCACCCAGGTGAGCGCGTCGTATACGGCACAATTGAAATATCTACTGTCACGGATGTTAGGCTAGAGGCGCGAGTTTCACAAGGCAACGCTAGCACCACATCGCATTGTGATGTTCATTCAAGACGTAACGATCCCGGAAGTAGAGCCGGTTCGTTAACGTCACGTAGGTATGCTAATTACAGTCGTCAGTGTTCAAATTTTGTTATGCGGAGATGCCATGATAGTATTTTGTGTTTATCTTTATACAGGATTTGGTGAGTAACGAAAGTTTTTGTGGGTCTTAGGTTG